CAGAAAACCGGGTCTTAAAGGACCCTCCGCCCAAATCCTTTTAGCCTTTTTGCCTACTCGAGGTCCTCTATCGAATGATGTATGAACGAACGAAATCGGAGCCGGACACCTGGGGCGGTTCCCTCGTTAGAGTGTTTTGATTCTAATCAAGATTGAATGAACAGAGGTAATAACATGTTGGATTTTGAAAAGTACATTTTCACCTACAAAACAAAATGTCTCCGAGAGTTTCAGAATGTTACCTTCGGATAACATAACATAAATAGAGCAAAAATGGTAACGCTTTATTTCGTAACGAACAGTTGAGAGAACATGGCATTAATACTGATATATTACCTCAATTTCCTTCGGTACTCAAAACACAGGATAAGTCAAATGATTTTCGATCTGATAAAGTTTTCCATGAGTAATAACAAATATTACTCTGTATTATCACCCATCAACCAGGAAATAAAATTTTATTGTAACCTCATTCCCACAGAATGGAAGCCCATGTCTTCTGTTGCGTGTAATAGATCACCTGGCTTTCTAATTCGACTAACCAACCATAGTTGTCAAAGAAAATTTAAAATTCGTAAAAATCTTAAAGCAAAGATTAACGAATTGTTATACAGGAAATAACGCTGTTGTTTATTCGCGGCTTCAGAGTTTTTCTTCTTCTTCTCTGCCTGCAGGCATTAGAGGTTAGATCATATTTAGTTTCTATCGTTTTGAGAGTAACATAATTGAGAAGTTGCTGGATCATAGAAACGACGACACTTTCCTACACTCGATGTTGCGAGTAAAAAAACTGCGTGAATGTTAAAACATCAGTCGTTTATTGAACAGAAAAGTTTCGAATCATAGAACTCGATCGGATCTTACAAGCAAAGAGGTCATGACGAAAATTGGCTAACGGATCGTACGACAGAGGCGATAAGTAAACAAAAAGAATTGTAATCTTTGCTTCAGCTACGACTTACTGATAAAGAAAGAACAATGCAAAATTCTGAGACCTGACGGATTCATGATTTCAAGGTTTCCTAGACCTTAAACCTTGAAAAAATTAGCACAAAACGGTGTGGTAGCATCAGAAGGCCGTAGCTTTCTAATATGGATTTTACAGAAATGTCTACAAAACAGCCTTCTAATCCGGTTGGCTTTCTAACTCGGTCTCGATAAAATAGTGTGTAAGTGGAAAGGAATACCTGCATGTTTTTGTAGCCACACTTCACTGTCTAATATTCATAATTCTGCCAATGATTATGAACTTGGTTCAAAAAGACTTCCGAAAAATATTATAATAAGCTTCCGCAACATCCTTGGTACTGCCGAAACTCTGATTTCTTAGTACTGTCAGATTGATCTTCTGGAGATGTATAGAAAACCAAGGTCTCGAATATAAAGTTTTTCGCTAATTTACGGAAGTCACTTTCTAAGAAATATTATCGATGTTCCGAAATTTATTTCAGTTTATTTTTGCCTATTAACAAGACAAGTAGCAGAAGAAATGTTCAAGGTTAGTGAAGTGAGAAATATGATTTTGCGTTTCTCATGTTAAAATGTAGAGGATAAATAGAATAAATAGGTGTAATGTAATGTATTTGTGTAATAAATGTACTTTCTTTGTAGATGAAAGCAGTGTATGTGGCAATGAAGAAGGTTATAATACATTCGAATTCGATTGAAAATGATCCACAGCAAAAGTCAACGATGCCTTCTATTGCACTGATTAAAGAAGCACTTCGTCTAATACATTGTGCAGCAGTTCAGATGCATTGTTTATACGATAAGCATTTGAAGGAAACGATAAAAATGATACTGAAACAAAATTGTCGCACTATTCTAATCATACATGATGATCGTCACTGGTTAACAGTGTCAGATTTCAAACCGTTTCGTAATTTTTTGATAATGGATATAAGTTATCAAGGAATAACAAACCAATTATTTCAGTTGTTATCGACGTATATTAATACTAAAGCCTATGGCTACACTTATTATACATTTGAAGTAGAACCGATTCCACAACATACGATTGAAAATGCTGCTGATGCATATGTAGCACTGGCCTATGGAACATTATCGTTGTTGAACGTCGGAGATATCAACAAGAATATTTCTCATACGGTTTTCGATTAGATGAAGTAAAATCGTTCATTAATCAAATGGAAAGAAATAAACGTTTTGAACGTTTGCCGAATTGTAATTAATTGATTTGTGATCAAGATCGATGTAGAAATACGCTTTATTTAATTCAAATACGTTGTGATTGTCGGATTCCTATACTAACTGATACAACAGACTGCTATGTCTGTAACAAAGACAATTGTTATCGGTGGACACATATTTGTTGTATGGATCAGCACAATAAGTTTCACCATATAAAAGAACCAACACGATTATTGAAATCGTTGGTACTGGACATTGTTGATTCCGATGACGAAAGCAGCTTGAGTGAACAATCGACAGTTAACTCCGCTACATCGCTTCGACAGATAAAAAGCACAACAACAAGAGAGGTATATACGTTTTACGCAAAAATACGATACATGTTAAATGAATAGTTTTTTTCTTACAGAAGACAAAAGTTATTTAGACGTGAGTTCTCAAACAGAAGATGTTGCATCGATAGAACAAAAACAATCAGGATGTACTGTAACTCATTCAAAAGTATATGATCGTTTTCGGCGAACTAATGATTACGATCAGGTGTCCGGATCTAATTTTCTTTTTCTTATTTACTTCTAACTTTAGCAATTTTTTATTATAGACGAAAATTTGGATGTGGAAGAAGAAATAAAGACTTATAGTGAAATGAATCCACGAAGTACAAATAAATCGCAAGGCATACTATCAAACATTACAAACAAAGAGAGAAAGTACAACATTAACGATAGATAATGTTTTTGCTTTATTTATGCAATAGGTGGAAATTTGACTCCTGTTGATGAATTATGTTCATACTACCAATCAAAAATAAACACAAATTGTATCATAACTAATGAAAATACGAGCAACATATCAACTTGTACTGAAACAGTTCGTGAATTGACTATGAATAAGAAACCTGAGGGAGTCAAGAAAAGAAAAGGTGTATGGCCTGGCCTGTCCACGCTTTTTTTTAGTCCGTAGCAATTTTTTCTGTAACAGAAGATGTTGTGAGGACCGTTCTTGCGTCAGCTGATAGAGCTCGGTGAGTTCTATTTGCAACCAATATATTGTGGGTTTCAGCCAAGTGGCACGTTTTTTATACAAATAATATTGAGCGTTATGGACTTACAAAAAATAGAACTGAATGTAGAGCAGAGCAAAAACAGATAATAAGTTTAACGAATAATGAGATTCTTTCAAAAAACCTTTCCGTAGCAAATGTAGCTGAGAATTAAGCCTATATAAAGCAAAAAAAGATTTGTCTCGAAAGTGTTTAGTCTCGCAGATGCATCAAAAACAAAAACGTTACGGACTTATGTTTCGTTATGGACTTACAGCTTTTTTTGGTTCTTTCAAATCAGAAGGTTAAACTTCATTACAAAAGTTGTCATAGAAAAATATTCCCGATAGTAGTAGACAGTATCTGATCTGATCTTTCCGATGCACCGTAGAAAAACGTTTTGACTTGGAGGAAAACCCGTTTCAAAACTTGGTCTTTCGAAAAACCAACTTTCTTGGAAAGCACCTAAACTCAAAAATAAATACACCATCTTGTAGAGAATTAAATTCTCTACAAAAAAATATCTCTTAATTTTTTTCGCGAAATTATCTAGGTCAGGAAATTAAAAATAAAATTTGGATTTCATTTTTTGAGGTCAAAATTTAATTTTTTGGAAATTTTAAGTTGATAGTCGAAATCAGCTCCAAAGACTACGTTAGACGATGCGCTTCCCAAATTCTTAAAGTTAAAAAAAGTTTTTCGAACCATCTTAAGTGAAGGTGACCGTTAGCTGAACAGGCCGTGTAGCAGTCATTTATACGTCAGTTGCTTTACAAAATAATCCATATACCGTTTTCAACCCTTTTAACTTGAACTGAGATGATTCTTAAACAGTTAAAATACATCTATGATCATACGATGTAACTCGTGAACATCCATCCCTAGCTGTTATATTTAAACTGTTTCACTGGATCTCGAAAATAAATGTTAACTGAAATTCAGTATGACGGCTAGAAATGTAATTCAAACATTTTTACAAATCATGAAACCGATTTAAATATTGATTTATTAGCCGAAAACTGAAACCACTGAAAAAACAAAAGTATGAACAGATTGCTATCAATACGATACGATTGTTTTATACGGACATTCTAGATATATCTGCAGCGGATTCTCGACGCAGAAGTACAATCGAAATAGTCACGTGACCAATAAGTAAGAAAAGATGTATGTAGCTATAAAACACGTCTTTCGACGAATTCGCTCCACATCCATAGATTTCGTTGAGAATCGTCGATATCGTTGCGGATTACAAAAATTTCGGAAACACGTGCTATGTAAATGCATCAATACAAGTTCTGGTCAGCACAAAATTTACAAGAATGCAATGGGCAAATTATAAAATTATAACGTTAATTACTAGGTACGTACGCTTGGTTGTGGATTTCAGTCATAGCACTGTAGAACTGTTACGGTCTACAAAACAGCAGAAAACTTTCTATTGATTTCAGATTGGTGTCTTCAATGCGAACTCGGTCAAACAATGAGTGATATTTGTTCGCCTTTTAATGGTCACGTCTATCCAACTCATTTTCTCAACTCGCATATTGCATTATATTGACGACACATACGTTGTTGGCATACAACAAGATACAGAAGAATTTTAACACATGCATTTAACACAGTGGATGAATGTACAGTATCATATAGATTTTGTTATAGTCGTTACCAAAAAACGATCGATAGGTCAACATATGTTTCTAAACGCAAAAAACTCGTTGATGAACAATCCAAATGAGTTTATTCCTCTTTCTTTTTTTTGGTGTTCTCTATTCATTGAATGAAAATTCTTTAGTTTTTTCATTCAGAATAAAGTGCATAACTACGCGACAACGAAGTGAAATTCTTTTTCTGAAATCCTTCTTCACAGATAAGAACCCAGGTCGAGGCTGCACGGCGTTAAACTACAGTTTACGTCAAAATACGACGAAAGAAACCGTGGAGAAGGGTAACGACTGTCGTAAACTGTGGTTTATGATGAAATACGACAAAATACGATGACAGTATTACGATCATCGTAATACTTCTCCACGGAAAACGTTAGATTAGGACAAAATACTATCGTAAACATCAAAATACGACTTCGTAATTTGACGTATTACGACTGTTTACGATCGTCGTAATCAAACTCTAAAAAATAACCAAAAGCTATTCTTAATGAGTTATAATTGTAGCCCGCAAATTTCTGATTAAAATGAGACATCTCCCAGCTCTTCACGATTTTTCTCTGCAAAGTTATTTATGAGAAAAGCCCTAAAGGTTCATTGTTAGCTCAAAGCTACAGAAATAAGAAGTAATTTAGGGCTTTTCTTGTAAATTCTATAACTTTGCAGAGAAAGGTCGTGAAGAGCTAGGAGATGTCTCATTTTAATCAGAAATTTGCGGGCTATAATTATAACCCATTAAGAACAGTTTTTTTTTTAGGGTTTTTGAAAAACTGGTTTTCCATAAAACCGGGTCTTCCAGAGTCATGCACCCGAAGCCTTTTAGGGTATTTACTACCTCACTGAGTTCTATCGATCCATGTACAAATCATTGAAATCGAAAGGGGGCACCTCGGGAGGTTCCCTCGTCAGTTGTAAAAGGACATTGCACATTGCACAATTACACGATTCAAAGCACATGTGAAAATTGTATCTCAGTTGAGAAACAAATATTTTTGCAGAAATATTGGCTTCGCAACTGAGATACTTGATTAAAATATGGATTGTATCTCACGTGAGATGTTACGCTTAATTCTTTTTGGTTTTGTATATTGCACGGCAATTGGAAATGTCTATAATCTGTTGTTTTGGTTTTCTTCATTAGTCAAGTTGACGATTCAGATGGTTTTATATTTTTGATCTTGTCTTAATAAGTTGAAGCAATTTTCTACAAGAATTTATTTTTTATTTGTAGGTTTAACATTTGATAGAAAGTATGCCAAATTACAAAAATGGAGGAGATTTAAGATCCGGCTTATGGTTATCGAGATAGTTCCTACTAGCGGATCTTAAAAATTTAAATAAATTTAAAAATATTGAAAAACAATCGTTAGTACTTTAATTGAGTTCGAAATCTTGTGTAGATATCCTACTATCTGTCATAAGTAGGGGTGGCACTTTCTCGTTCCTTTCCCGCGACAAGAAAAGTAAAACTTGATCTTCCTTTTCCAAAACAAAGAAAATTTTTACTTTTAGTCGCTTTCCTTTTCTTTGTCTTTGCAAAAAGCCTTTATAAAAAAAGCAGATTTTGTTACGAAAAATAAGGTCAGTGAGAAGAAAGAGACAAATGAAACGTATGAAAGAAAGTCGTCAAGTTACTACGGATAAGTTGCACTTGAAGAAGAAGAAGTAGAATGGTCTTTTGGCAAATGACCAAGAGCAAACCCAATACCCAAGTCTAGACTTGGGTATCCCAAACTTAATACCAAGTCTATACACCCAAGCGGCTTGGGTTTGGGTTTGTAACATACCTAAGTGTCACCTCTAATCATAATAAGCCCATGATATGAGTATAAAATAGCGCAAATCTCTCCTTACTTTACAATTTCTGACTATTGACATCAAAACTATTTTCCTTCAGCGAACAGATGGGAAACATCTCTAATAAACGATCTTTTGAACTATGCTCAATTTGGATTCAGGCCTTCGTCTTCGACTACTGACACCCTTTTGCGAGTCAATAACTTTATAGTAGCATTAATTAAAAAGGGAAGTTCAAACCACATTACATTGGTCTGAGTTTTGATTTTTCTAAGGCGTATGGTCGTGTTTCTCATTCCGTTCTTCTTACCGAAGTGAGTTTGTGATAGAACCTTTGACTGATTTCATTCTTACTTATCAAATCGCTACCAGTTTGTTAAAATAGGAAACGAATCATCATCTCGGTCAATGGTAACTTACCGTCAGGTGTACCGCAAGAATCGGTTTTAGGTCTACTTCTATTT